ATCTTATAAATTTTTTTTTCTTGCATGTCATCGTATCACACATAAAAATGGAAATTCAAAACGTAATATTCCATTAATTTCTTCTCACTCCTTTTCTTCTACCGATCATTTTCTTCTCACCTTTCCATTATTTTTCTTCTCATTCCACGTATAGCCTGAAAAATATAATAAATTTGAAACCGTAAAATCGATTTGAGGTAATCTTTTATGTAAAAAAAAAATTTCACTGATTGAAATTCGATATTGTAATAATTTATTTATATTAATTAAATTTAATTTTCGATCTTCTAGAAATCATAATTTTTAGTTTTACCATCTCCTGATATTTTTAACTGATCCTGCATTCTACACGATACACAATGATATTAAGATCATGTATATTTTCCAATTAAATACTACAATCATAATTACAATAGCTAAAATCTCAAAATTATCTACTTTTTTGAGCAAGAAAGTTGCTCTACATTTTTTATTCATTCATATTTTCTCGATAAATATCACCTACTTTTAAACAAAAAGGTTGTTCCACTTTTTTTTTCGCTCATATTTTTTTTTTTATATTATGACGACTAAATGTAAATTACCTAATAAATCGTCTGATGATAATCAAGAAATGGAAGTTGAAGGAGGTATGTAGATATAACTCTTTTGTAAATTTATAGTAAGTTTTGCTTATATAGTTATATGTAAGAAGAATAATTAATAAATACCAAAAATATGTATAATAGGATCGAAAAGAAAACAAATTAAGAAAAAAAGAAGAGATATTGACATTGAGAAAGCCAATCAGTTGATGAAAAAAAGTAAAAATAGTAATAAAGAAGCTGCTGAATCTGCTGATAAAGAAGTTATAGTAGTAAATGAAAAAAGAAGTAATGATGATGATGATGATGATGATGATGATGATGATAATGATGATGATGATGAGAGTAAGACGGAAGATCATAAAAAACCCGAAGTATTTCAATCAAAGTCAAATTTAAAAATAGTTGCTTGGCTCGTCGACCATCCGGAAATTTTAAGATTGGCACTAGAAATGAACAATACGAATGTTGCTATCTCATCATCCAGTAAAATTACGGACGTAAGTATTAAATTAACATGATTTTATTATGTCTAAATCTTTTAAATAATGTATTTTTAATATTTTAGGATAAAATTCGTCTATGGGACGAAAGTGTCAAGTATCTTTTTTTACGTGCAAGAAATAAGTCCGCGTGGTAAAGTTTTTGATGAGTTGATAACAAAAATTTTCAAAATAAAAATACATTCGAACGAAGCTAAAAGCTACCTTGAAAAACCCCGAAAATTTTTTATCGATTTCAGAAATAAGTTTAACCAAATTATTTTAACTTCTGTAGAAGAATTTAAAGAAATAAGAAAAAACAGGTATTTATTTAATTGTTTCGTAGCTAACCAAATA